GGTGCTGGGCGGTGCTGGGCGGTGCTGGGCGGTGCTGGGCGGTGCTGCTATTATGCACAGCACAGATCACCTTATCCTCTACTGCTTCCCCTGAAGGGCTGCTCTGAGGACTGAACAAGTCATTCCATGAGATGCTGCACTCCAGCAGTGCCAACATGGGGAATCACTCGGTTTTATAGCCCCAAGTACCCTGAGAGGATAATTGAGTTTTAACTTATGTCCCAGTTTATGTCACAATCAGAGAAAACTGAATTTCAGTGCATTGTATTGTCATCAAGTGTGCTGTGGAAACATCCTGATGTGAACTGTCTGTTGCCTGTTGGGGGTGGGGAGCAATTTATTTCAAGCTGGAGACTGCTCTGTGTTAGTAGGAGGGTGACCAGCAGCGCCGGGGTCGCCAGCTCATGGAGAGATGTCCGTTTCCATTGTGAATTCCAGGAGTCAGTGTGAAGAGGGAAGTGGCTTTAATGATGGGGCACGGCGCCTGTTTAGAAGAGAATGGGGGGGAGGTGCATCTGTGGACGAAGCTCAGGTGGTAGTAAGACTCACATCCAGGAAGAGGCCAGGACAGAAACCCCACTGGATTTTCCGTGGTCATTCTGAGATTATTGAATGCTTATGGAGTTGCCTGTCTGGAAGAAGAAGCTAGCAGATATGGGAACTGTGTGCCACAAAAATACCAGCTGCAAAGGTGTGCTCATCGTGAGAGCCTCCACCCTGGAGCCTTAGAATCACAGTTTCACCTTTTGCATGTGTAAAGCCTGGCGGATATAAATAACTCTCCCCTCGAGACTTCTGCTTGACTGGCGTATTTGCATAAAGCCGCAGCTTCGGAAGACTTCTGACACCTTTCTGAAAAAAAAATAAATAAAAGGAACTTGCTCATTTTCAGAAGGTGAAGGTTGACTGAGAGTCACAGAAAATGGGGCGATGCCTGGTCCCCCGGTCTTTCTGCTCGAGTCATAGTCCCAATCTTCTCCATGTTCCTGAGAGAGGGGTCCTTTTCAAAAGCCACATTTCACCTTTGCACAGTTGGGCTTATTAACTATTTATGTCTTTAAGGTTTTTGCTGACAGTAATGTCAGTGTGTGTGTGCGTACTCGTGCAGAGGATGGGAATATCTCAAAGACGGGGGAAGAGAAGAATGAGAGAATAACGGAACACATGTGACATGAAAGCAGAAGGAAGGATTATTTAGAGGAGCAGGGATGTGGGGGAGAGAAGTTCTGGCTAGAGATTTGGAGGGAAGGGGCCCTGGCCTGGAGTCCCCAAAGGCCACCAGGAGAGAACGTGGTGAAATTGGTGACACTCTTGGGTCTCCGCTCTAAGGTCTGAGGTGAAGAGCTTGCAAAACACAGAACTTAGAGGAAAGGGATGGACCCTCAAACTCAACGTGCTAAAGAGAGGGGGCCTGCTAGGTTTTCCAAGCCTTCTGCTGGCAGGTTCCCGTTAATCCTGGAAAGACGTTCTTTACATCGGGAAGTGGTGCTGTAACTGCTTGAAGGAACATTTTCCCTACAACTAGGAGGAAACGGGAAGACAAATCCATTCCCTGAAGAAATCAGTGTTTCTTCTCAACATCAAACTTGGACTTGATTTCTTCTGAAGTGTCAAAAGGACAAACTCTGGGAACAGAAATCAAACAGATGTACATTTGTGAGCAAAATAGTCTTAGTGATGGTAGATGAGGCATCCTCGCCAGGGCTAAGTGTGGGCTGGTGGAGAGAGAACTTGAGGGTTCACGGCATTTGTTCCACCCAGGTTGAACAGTGGGCAAGGACTCTCCAATTCCAGGCCTCAGGCCTACCCACCCACCCAGGCTCGTTCCTTGAGAATTAAAAAAGAAAAAAAGAAAAACAAAAAAAAAAAAAAACCAAAAACAAACAAACAAAAAAAAAAAACAAAAAAAGTGCCCTCTTGTGGTCATTTGGGAAACTGCTACTTCAATCTTCTAGTTTCTGGAAGGATTGTAGGGTGGGGATGGTGAGGTGGGGGTGGAGGTAGAAAAGTCCTTGATTCATAACATTAGCTGCACGTACTTAATTAAACATTTTAAAATAATTTTGTATATATTCACCTCACTATCATTTAAAAGGGCGGAAGTGTTCAGGCGGAAAGAAATACCATAAACTTCACAGATGTCTTCTTCATGCCCAGTCTCCTGGTATGAACTTAAAACATGGTGTTCAAAGAATTATAGCACGGAAAATAAATTATAATAAAAGTAAAACATTTCTTAAAGTCATAACCCTCTGAATAAAGTGGCCAACCTCGTTTTCTTAACAAGAAAAGTGACACAGGGTGTAAGCATTGCTAGATAGGAAAAATGATGTATCCAATGAAAGCTAAATTTATGTGCTCCCAAGTGGAGCTTGATTCATTCTTCTTGTGGACTCTTCATGATCTCTAACACTTCGGTTTTCAAAATGTGGGTTAGAACACCTGGAGTCAGAGACTCACCAAATACAGAAGTGATTCCATTTTTAACCCTCTTTCTATCCTGAATCTACGAAGAAGAAAGTTTCAGTCTGACCCAAGTCGGTTTGAACATGCCCACCCCAGACTTGCTAACCCTTTATAGCAAAGGCAAAGTCAGCCCTCAGTCTTTCTATGTGGCAGCTTCTAGCCAAAATTCAACAGTATTGTTTTATATTATTAGCATTACTATTTAATGTTACTGATATTAATATTTAAGATTATTAAATTTTGAAAGTTTGTTTTAAGCATCTGATTTTAGGAATTCTTATTTAAGACAATTGATGCTGGACTTGGAATAAACATGTTATTTTCTAGGAATGAATTTATTTCTTTTTAAAAGTCAGCAT